GGGGGGACACAGAAACAAACATTTTGAAATACAGTCAAACAAGGCAAACAAAACTCATCAAAATTCTCGCTAACTTATAAATAAAACTACACAGAACATCAAGGGCATACACGAATTCAATCACACTCACACATAATGTGCATATGTACACACACGCACACACACACACGCACGCGCACACACAAACACACACACGCACGCCCGCGCGCACACACACACACACACATACACATACAACTACACTCCCAACAAACACAACTCCCCCCTCCCCCCCCACACACACACTGACCATGGGTAGGAGCGGGGAGACCCCCCCTCACCACACACACACACACACTCACACCCACAACTACACCCACACACACACACACTCACCATGGGTAGGGGCAGCGGTCGTGAGACAGCCCCCATCAAATCCTCCACCTCCCTGTCCTCCGAGTCCCCTGCCTCCACACACACACACACGCGCACACACACACACACGCACACACCTCCCCAACTACACCCCCCACATACACTCACCATGGGTAGGGGCGGCGGTCGAGAGACGGCCCCCATCAAGTCCTCCACCTCTCTGTCCTCAGAGTCCCCTGCCTCCACCAGCTGAGTCGCTCGAGGCCTTTTCCGGCCGTGTGTGGTGGTGGTGGGGATGGTGGTGGTGGTGGGGATGGTGGGGATGGTGGTGGTGGTTGTCGGCCCATTCTGGCCGTTCTCTCCGGTGGTGGCCATTCCTCTCCTTGGGAAAAGACAGAGAAACGTTCACGTGTTTGTTTTTTAAAAATCTTGTTTCAGTAAGCGTTTTATGGAACTTGCAATGTTATCAGGCTTAGGGTTTTAGTTCGTGTTCTACGGCACTTGAAACACAATATGGGTCAAATAAGTGCCGAAGATCAGAGGTGTTACAAGAGAGTAAAAAAACAACAAAAAAACAAACAAAAAACCAACAACGGAGGAGAGATAATGACTACAGATGTTTCATAGGAAAGAAGAAGCAAACCACACGAGAGCACCCGCCAACCACCCACGTGAAGAGACAGAGAAACGTTCTCATGTTTGTTTTTATCTTCTTTTAGTAAGCGTTTTACGGAACTTGCAATATTATCCGGCTTAGAGTTTTAGTTTTAGTAAGTGTTTTACGGCACTTGAAACACAATAAGGTCATATTATAGGTGCTGAAAATGAGAGGCGTTACAAGAGAGTAAAAAAAAACACACACACAAAAAAGGAGGAGAGATAAGGACGACAGATGTTTGATAGGATAGGAAAGAAGGAGCAAACCACACCAGGGCACCTGCCAACCACTCAAAAGCTGTGTCAAGCAGACTGCTTTTTTAGTCATCATCGAGATCGATGGAAGGCCGAAGAAGACGAAGAACGAAGTAAGTGAGATAGTGTCGTCTACCCGTATGTGCGCAACTCCCGGAGGAAATTGTTGTGGTTTAGCCAGCGGTTTTACGTCACTTGCAATATAATACGGTCATTTCAGTGCCGAAGACAAGAGGAGTTACAGGAGAGTAACAAACACAAAAAGGTGGAGGAGGAGGGATAGAGACGATAGATGTTTGATGGGAAAGAAGGAGCACACCACACCAAAGCACCCGCCAACCATGGCATTATTATAAATCGGAAGACAGAATTTGGGCCATCGCGGATCACCACACGTAATGCGTGCATACGTTAAATGGTGTAAAAGATGTGGGTGATTTTAGGCCCCCATTGACCAAATTTACATAATTTAGTTTTTAGTTTTAGCAACAGTTTTTAGTTTAGTATGGGATTTTACGGCGCTTGCAACTGCATGAGGTCATATGAGCGCGCGAGGCACAAGTTAGTTTTTTATTCGTAGTTTACTGCACGGCTGGGTACGGGTCATTTGATCTTAAAACGTTAAAATATTTAAAATTTGGTGTAAATATATATATTTTTCAATCTAAAATAACCTTCATAAATTTTTTAAAATAATTTAATTATGTTCTACAACTTCCCATAAAGGCCAATGGCCTTCATAAAATCCAAAATTCTGTTGGGACCACCGGCGGAAAAAATGTCTTGCAATTTTTTGCATTTAAAGTATTTCCTTCGAATCTCTCCGACGTCTAGACATTCGGTTAAAATGTGTCTAATGGTGAGACACAGAACGGCTTCTCATCTCCCTGAAGGAGGTATTTATGTGTTAGGGCAGTGTATCCGACGCGTAATCGAGTAAAAATGACTTCGTCTCTTCTGGAGAGGTCCGAAGGATTTCGCGGTCCCAGTTTGGGTTTACTATTATAGAGTTTGTTACTCGTCTGTTTTTTCCAGTGGCTCTCCCACAGACTGGAGGTGTACTATTTGACTTTATTTTTAAAGTCAGTCTGTGGGAGAGTGTTCGTCGTTGATCCCAACAGAAGGGATAAGGATTTCTTCGCCAGGTTATCTACCTGCTCATTTCCTCGGATGCCCACATGGCCAGGTATCAATGCGAACATGATATTTTTCCCTGTTTCAGATAAGGTGTGAATTTTCTGTTGTAGCCTAACTATTTTTGGGTGTAAGAGTGTGTAGTTTGTGAGTGAGGTGATGCAAGACAGAGAGTCAGAAAGGATAAGGAAAGATTTGTTAGGAGAATTTTCTACGGAGTCCAGTGACATGTCAATGGCAGTGGCCTCCACAGAGAAAGTGGAGGCTTCAGGATGGAGTCTCCTCTGGTGTGTACTGTTGGAAGATAGGGCTGCGGCGCCCACATTATTGTCTTTTTTGGAGCCATCAGTGAAGATAAGCTCCGCACCGGGGTATTTTTCTATGAGTTTTTTGTATTCTGCTTTAAAAGTGTTGGTGTTTGTGCTTTCTTTGTTGTGTGAGGTCACTCTGTATGTTTCCCAGGAAGTTGAGTTTGTTTCAGAATACTCTAAGGTCTGCTGGGGTAGTAGTATGGATTGTGAAGCGCATAGAGCTTGCTGTTGAGCGGGGATTTGCGCTATTCAAATGAATGCTATCTATTATCTATTATTAAACCTATGCCATTTCACCATTTTCATATCATGCGGTATCATGCACTAATTAGGTGAAGTAGTACTCTAGACCGATCGCACAGCTTGGACGAACAGGGCCATCCTGTAAAAGTATACTTACGACCTTAGAGCATGCATCAAAATAACATTGAGTGTGTATCTAGCTTACGATTATTATTGTTTATATTGCTGCTCATTTATATTATGCATGTGATTGTAAACCTACTTGTGTGTGCCTGTGTGTGCACGTGTGTGTGCGTGTGTGTGTGTGTGTGTGTGTGTGTGTGTGTGTGTGTGTGTGTGTGTGTGCGCGCGTGTGTGTACTCTTGGTGGAACACCAAACCAATGTGCCAGGATCTGGACAATAAAGATGTATCTTATCTTATCTTATAGGAAAAGGGTAGTTAATGCATGTCCCGTGCAACCGATATGCTCGAGGCTTACGTAAGCAATGACCCATTCGCTCATTTCAGTCAATATTTTCAGTATGCGTTCAATGAACAGCTGCTGCCCCCCCCCCCTCTTTAAGACTACATGTAGCATTTTTCCCCTAAATGTCAAGGCAGGAAGAAACCGAGATTGAGAGGGGATCGGATCCATGTACAACATGCGGGCATGAAGATCTCTACGTTCTACGTTCTCCTCCCTCCTGTACACCCCCCTCCCTCCTTCTCCTTGTATGTGTATGTGTATGTGTGTGTGTTTGTGTGTGTGTGTGTGTGTGTGTGTGTGTGTGTGTGTGTGTGTGTGTATGTATGTATGTACATGTGTGAGTGTGTGTGTGTGTGTGTGTGTGTGTGTGTGTGTGTGTGTGTGTGTGTGTGTATGTGTGTGAGTGTGTGTTCGTATAAGAGTGTATGCAGGTAGGCCTAGTTGCGAATTTGCAGATTGGCGACAAAAAGCTGTCCATCGTCGCATGCATCGCACAAATGGGCGGCTGATGATAAGGCCCTGGCATTTACATTAATATAAAGGGGATAACAATAAAGGTCTAATGGGAACACAGAAAGACCTGTCTACACAACATTTACAACGCCCCCGCCCCCATCTCCACACACACACACACACACCCACACAATATTATCGTGATTACATATCTGTTAACGTCATGCAGGAAAGGAATGGAGGTCAATATGGATCGCTAGCTATTGTAGGGGTATTCATAATTTCTTCAACCCCTCGTGTGTGATTGTGTGTGTGTGTGTGTGTGTGTGTGTGTGTGTATGTGTGTGTGTGTGTGTGTGTGTATGTATGTGTGTGTGTGATTGTGTGTGTGTGTGTGTGTGTGAGTGTGTGATTTTGTGTGTGTGTGTGTGATTTTGTGTGTGTGTGTGTGTGTGTGTGTGTGTTTTCGCAGATGGGGGAGAGAAGGGTGTGGGTCCAATATGATATATGGTTAAACGACGGGTGTCGGTCCTATATGGTTAACTCATTGAGGACGCGCAATTTTTCATCACTGAAAACGCGTTGTTTCGGGATACTTAAAAAAAAAAGACCCATAACTTCCTAATTCAAATAAATATATTTCAATTTTTGTTTTCTTTATCTTAAACTTAAAAAGGCAGTCAATAATGTGCTTGCTACGAAATGCAAATTCGTGTTTCTTGTGTATAAAGGTTGGAAATGTACAGAATTATAGGCTTTGGGCTGCTGCGGATCGGACGTATGTGTCCGCTACGTCTTCGAAGAGTTAAAAGACTTCAATCTGTTTTAGTTTGGTTTTTAGTAAGGTTTTACTTGTACGGCGCTCGCAACTGCATAAGGTCATATGCGCGCCAAAGGGTGGATGTCAACAGAGAAGTCTTTACAGGGAATCAGGCTTACTCTGCTCACCTCTCTAGCCCCAACGGCACACAGAGGGTCACAAGAGTGCGACAAAACATATAAAAGAAGTAGAGGAAAAATGACGATAGGAAAGATTAGGAAAGAAAAAGCAGCAGTTCCCTGTTGCAGTTCAGGCACAGTTATGAGCATGGCATTGATGAGTCAGCCCATTTACAATTACAATTCTACTGTGCAAAAGAACTCGAGATGTTAATGCCCCCCCCCCTCCTTATGCAGTTGCGAGGGCTGTAAAAGCTCTACTAAAACAAAGATCCATTGGTGGTCCAAAATCGATAAGAGCAGGCTTCGGCCACCGCCGCCCGGGCAAAATTCAAAATTTCTTACCATGCCTGGTGAGTCCCGCGTGCTCATTTGACCCTAAGCGGTTGCGAGAACCGTAAAACACTTACAAGCTCATGACAAGAGCCGTCTAGTGCCGGGGAAACAGCCACATAGAGACAGTTACGTTTTAGTAAAGGTTTTTCTGCACCCGCAAACTGCATAAGGTCATATGAGCGCCAGAAGATTAGAGGTGTTACAAGAGAGTAACAAACATAATAAAGAAAAATGGGAAATAAGGACGATAGATGTTTCATAGGAAAGAAAAAGCAAACCACACCAGAGCACCCGCAAACCTTCCACTCACGGAGAGACAGACAAAAACACGAAGGAACAGCACAGAAGATTGCCCATCAAAAGAAGGAGAGGTGAAAAAAGGGTCAATGGTATAGAGGTTTAACGCCCATATCAACACTATTATGTTATTCCAGAGGCTGAACCTCCGAGTGTAACATCCATCTTCGAAAGCTACAGGCTAAAACCAGCGCCAAAACACACACAGCTGCTGCCCCCAACATAAATAAATACATGTTAAAAAAATCAATGTCAAGTTGTACATTATAATCCCAATCACCCAAAAACC